TTAAGTCTCACCTGGGGGCTCGGCCCTGTGGCCCGGGTGCGCTCCCTGGCTGCCCTCGGGCGGCGGCCGCGGGAACCCGGGTGGCCGCTCCGCCCCGCCCCGCCCCGCCCCTGTCGGACCTGGACCTGTTGCTGCCGCCTGAACAACCTGGGCCTGAGGTCGCCTGAAAGAAGAGGGCCCCTCTGAGTGGCCACCCTCGCTACCGAAAGGGCCTGAAAAGCTCCTTCTTGCTATTGGTTTTCCCCGAACAGCTTCAAGGTATTAGATTAGAGTTCAGCTTCAAGTCCCTAAACTCTAATCCGAGGCTGTGTATAGACATGGCCCAGTCTAGTGGAGGCAGGAGAGCAGGTGCGGGTTCCAGGACCGGGGATAGTGGCTGGCACTGGACGGAGCTCAGCATCTAGGCGTTCAGTGAGCGAGGGCCCTACTGAGGAGGCACCAACCGAGGCAACTGGCTACAGTCCCTCAAGGAAGCAGCCAGAAAAGCAAAAAACCTCTCAGCAGCCTTGGCTCCACCGTTTCCAAATAATCTACTCTGTTCTCCATGTCCACTTCTCTGGGCCGTGGGGACTGGCTTTGTGTCCAGATGGAGTGGGAATAGGGGTGGGAGAGGAAGGACAGCACTAGCCCTGTACCCCCCATTCTCTAAGGGGGAAACATTTTTATGAAGTAATTTCCTGACATAGCCCTGTTAATCAGTGGCCAGGCAAGTACATGTCAAAGGGGTGGGGTGGAGGGGCTGGAGAACCAGGTAAGGGCAGTTTCCCCAGACCCCCAAATCTGGAGGTCCTGGTTCCTGGATTAGTGCAGCAGCCCCCACTTATGCAGGTGGCAGTGGTTAAGACAGCTGGCCTCCAACATGGCTAACCATGTTTTGAGTCTCCGACCTGTCACCTTGCTTTCTCACTTTCCCTCTCCCTCTCTGTTTCTCTCTGGCCAACTCTAAAAAATAAAATATAAGGGACCAGCAGTTAGCATAATGGCTATGTCGCTGGATTCCCATGTCATTGACTGCGGTTCAAGTCCTGGACCCAGCCGCTTTAACTCACGCCGGGCACGTGTGCATGCGTGCCCAAGATCCCAAGAGGAGAATGGAGGAGTAGGGATTGCGGCATGGCCATCCCCCCTGAGGGGTGATTTCTCACTTTCTGTCTCTCTGTCTGTCTGGTGAGCGCACGCGCCCTATAGCAGAAAACCTCTCCATAAAAAGAAAAAAATATATATGTATATAAAATAAAATAATGGGGGCCAGCAGATGGCACAGTGGTTAAAGGCTCAGGACTCCTACGTGGCTGACTGCAGGTCAAGTCCTTGACGTGGCAGGCATATGGCTGACCACAGTTCAAGTCCTGGACCTGGCAGCTTGCTTTCTCACTTTCCTTCTCTCTTTCTCACTCTGTCCCTCTCCATTCAAAATTAAATAAATAAAGTTAAATAAAATAATTCTTTAAAAATAAATATAATGACAATGAATACAATTCAAATTTTAAAAAGTCATCCTGTTGTGAGGTTTGAGTAAAATTTATGCATGTCCTGCAGGGGAAGCCCCTCAGCCAAGGCCTGGCTCATCACTGGGAGTTATTATCACCACCACCAGGGGCAACTCACCAATCCTAAAAAACCTCAAGCAGGCCCAGCCACTGTGGCTCAAAGGTAGCACAAGTGCCCGGCAAGGCTACAGACTATATGACTAACTGACCGCGGTTCAGAGTCCCCGGCTGAGCTGACATAGGGAAAGGAGCTGGAGGGCTAGAGAAAGGGGATGGCAGAGTGCCGAGACCCTGTGGAGAGTACCTCTCTCTCCCCCTCTCTCCGTGTCTGTCTCTCTCGTGCATATGCTCTTTATCACTAAAATAAATAAATAAATAAAATTCTGGAGGCCAGCAAGTGGTGTAGCGGTTACATCACTGGACTCCCACATGGTAGACCCCAGTTCGAGTCCCAGACCTGGTGGTTTGAAACTCACACCAGGTACAAGTGCGTGCATGCCTGAGACCCTGGGAGGAGAATGAAGGAGAAAGGACTGTGGTGTGGCTACCCCCCCGGGGGGTGATTTCTCACTTTCCCTCTGTTTCTGTCCCTCTCTCTCTGGTGAGCACATACCCTAAGACAAAAACCTCAAAAAAAAAAAAAAAATCTCAAGAGGGCAGCGATTCTACAGGCCTCGGCCCACCTAGCCACCCGACAATCATTGCTCACTCCATTGCTTGCGCAGTGACACGCAACAGGGCACACGCTGACTCGGGGTGGCCCAGCTTCTCTTTGGCCTACTGACTATCTGAGCAGCTTCCTCCTGACTGAAAGCTGTACCCTCTGGCGCCCCTACGAAGCTAATCCCCTCTAACCTTTCGCTCCTCCACTGTGAATGCTCGGTAAACAGGTGCTCACCCTGCTCTGCGCCAGCTCTCCCTAGACTGCAGCCTCTCATGTTTCACTTGACCCCTGTCTTCCCAGGTCTTTCCAGAGCGTCCCGATGACAGTAACAAAGTCACCTTCCCTGACTGCACTCTACGAGGACCTCCCACGTGAAAAGCAGGCGCAGCGTCCCAGCTTGGTCCGGAGACCACCTCCTCTCCTGCCCCAGAGTTTATTTCCTTGGTCCGCAGTGGCTGGTTCCACTCCCCCCACAATGCGAGATGGCCTGAGCCCGCTGGAGAAGAGCTGCCAGACACCCTTCAAGACTCCAAGAGGAGGCCAAGCTGGTCTTTCGACCTTTGCCTCTTCTCTCTGAGAGCAGTGGCCGAGTTCTGGGGGTATCGCCCAAGGTGGCACAGCAGTGGCCTAGGAGAAGATGAACTTGGCATGATCACTCCCTATGCTTCCCCCTCCCACCACCCTCTCTCCCGCTCTCCCCCACCACGCCCTACACACACACACCCGCCAGAGCCCTCCTTACCAAGAAACAAAGGGAGTTTACAAGATGGGTGCCTCTTGTGCCCCAGGAACAGAGATGGTGAGAGGAGGTTGGGGCCGTTGGTTCTGCCTGCTGGAACTGGGCGCGGTTGTGAACCCAGAGTGGGGGCCACAGTACCCCTGGCATCCTGAGCTGGATGACCCCTTGTTGTCGGACTGTCCGGGCACTGTGAGTGGGTAAGCAGCTCTCCGGCTGCTACTCACCAAATGCAAGTGTCGGGGGCACCCCTGGGCTGGGGCCACGAACATTACCTCCAGGGCTGGCCTTTTAAGGGAGCTGAATCCCACATGGCTGACCACAGCTTAAATCTCAGCCCCAGGAGCCTGTAAAACACCAGGAGCATGCTTGAAGGAGGGAGAAATGAAGAAGGGATTGTGACGCGACCCTGCCTCATTGTGGGGTGCTATTTCTAGTCTACAGAGTTTGGCAGGTGGTGGGGTGTTCGGTGCTTGCAGTAGTGGGACGACACGGAGTAGGGATAGGCCAGACCTGCGTTTCCCACATCTGACCAGGAGTTTCCTAGAAGCCAAGAGGAAGCTGGAAGAGGGCTGGACTCAAGCAGCCTTGAAGGGGCACCACCCGAGAAGGTGGCCAAGGAGGCAAGGGAACCCCAGTCCAGAAGCTGAATGACGCTCCTCTGGAGGTAAGCATGGGGTCCAGATGCCGGCCTGCAAGTGCATCATAAAGGGGCTCCTAGAGAAACCCCCAAATACCTGAATCTGGAGGAGGCAAAGGCAGAAGGATAAGGGAGAAAGGGGAGCCCTTCCCCCATCACCTCCTATGCTGCAGGGAGGGGGAGGCATGGGATTAAGAAAGATTGAGGCTGGGATTTACAGACCTGTTGTGTCAGATGGTGGCCTGAAAAAGATACACCCACACCCTAACCCCCAGGACCTATAACTGTGACCTTTTCTGAAAAAGGGACTTTGCAGATGTAATTAAATTAAAGATCACGCCATGAGGGCACCCTGGATATCTAGCAAGGCCGCCCGTCCAATACCCTTATAAGAGAGACCCAGAGGGGCCAGCAGATAGGGTAATGGCTATGTCTCTGGACTCCCATGTAGTCCACCGCGGTTCGAGTCCCAGACCTGGTGGCTTAATCTCCTGCCGGGCGCGTGTGCATACATGCCCAAGATCCTGAGAGGAGAATGGAGGAGAAGGGATTGTGGCGTGATCATCCCCCCGGGGGGTGATTTCTCACTTTCTGTCTCTATGTCTCTCTCTGTCTTTCTGGTGAGTGCATGCGCCCTATAGCAAAAACCTCTCCAGAAATAAAAAAGAGAGACCCAGAGAAGAGGGAAGGCCACGCAAAGATGGAGGAAGGGTCAGAGCGATGCAGCCACAAACCAAGGAACACCTGGAGCCTCCCGAAGCCAGGAGAGGCAGGAAGGACTGATTTCCTCCCAGAGCCGTCAGAGGGAGCATAGCCCTGCTGACACCTGATCGCAGACACCTTCCTGCCAGAACTGTGGGAAGAGACATTAATTTTGTCTTAAGGATTATTCATTTAGTTTTATTTGTTATTATTGGTTTTTCAAACTTTGCTATAGGGCACACATGCTGAGCAGAGAGAGAAAGGGAAAGTGAGAAAGCTAGCTCTCAGGTGCAGGACTCATCCGCAGTCAGCCATGCAGGGGTCTGGCACCTTAACCATCACTCCACCTGCTGGCCACAATTAATTTTATTTTAAACCACCCAGTTCGTGGCAATTTGTTGGGGCAGCCCCAGGAAACTAATATAATAAAGAACTAGAATTTGATTTAGAGTGGAGAAAAATCTTCAGTTTTCTGTCTTTCTGACACTTCCATGTGATAGATTTGGGCAGCAAACTCAAAGGTTGAGTTTCAAGAGTGCAGAACTTCAGAGGGTGGGACGGTGCCCAGTAAGGAGCCTCAGGAGACTTGGTGCCTTGAATTAGACATGGATCCTGCTCTGACTTCAACTATGGGTATTTCCCATCGTTCCAGCTACTTGAGAGACTGAGACAAAAGCCAGCTGGACAATATGCAAAACCTTCCTTAAAGAGGTGGGTGTGGGGACCAGCAGTTGGCATAACAGCTATGTTGCTGGACTCCCATGTAGCCGACTGCGGTTCGAGTCCCAGACCTGTTGGCTTGTGATTCACCCTGGGTGCGTGTGCATGCATGCCCAAGATCCAGAGAGGAGAATGGAGGAGAAGGGATTGAGGCATGGCCGGGGGGTGATTTCTCGCTTCCTGTCTCTCTCTCTCAGTGAGCACACTACAACAAAACACTCAAAAATAAATAAATAAGTAAATAGCCAATAAGAAGACATGGGGTCCAGCAGGTGGCATGGTGGCATGGTGGCTGAGGTGCTGGACTGAGGTGTTGCACGCACATGGCTGAGCGTGGTTCATATCCTGGATATGGCAACTTGCTTTCTCTTTATCTCTCTGGCCGGGGAGTGCATGTCCCCTATAGCAAATTTAAAATAATAATAATAATAAGTAAAATTAAATAAATAATTTTTGAGAGGTTTTTGCTATCGGGTACATGTGCTCACCAGAGAGAAACAGAGAGACAGAGAGACAGAAGGTGAGAAATCATCCCCCAAGGGGGATGGCCACGCCGCAATCCCTTCTCCATTCTCCTCTCGGGATCTTGGGCATGCATGCACACGTGCCCGGTGTGAGTTTAACCCACCGGGTCTGAGACTCGACCCGCAGTCGACTACATGGGAGGTCAGCAACATAGCCATTACGCTAACTGCTGCTCCCAATAATTCTTTAAAAAATAAAAATAAGAAGACGGTCCTTTGTAAACAGTGTAAAGTTAATGTCAAGGAGCAGGGCATCTACACATATGCCCAGCATGTTTTTCAGGTTTTTTTTGAGAGGTTTTTGCTATCGGGTACATGTGCTCACCAGAGAGAAACAGAGAGACAGAGAGACAGAAGGTGAGAAATCAGCCCCCAGGGGGCATGGCCATGCCGCAATCCCTTCTCCTCCGTTCTCCTCTCGGAATATTGGGCATGCACACACATGCACCCAGTGTGAGTTTGAAGCCGCCGGGTCTGGGACTTAAACCACAGTCGACTACGTGGGAGTCCAACAATGTAACCATTACACCATCTGCTGGTCTCCATGCCTGACATGTTTTTCAAACCACCAGGGCAGAGATCCGAACCACGGTTGACCACATAGGATCTAGCTCCCTCTGCAGAGTGCTTAACGACTACACTGTGGGCCAGCCTAAGGATGTCTGTCTTCTTTTTTTAAAAAAAATAATTATTTACTTTATTTTTATTTATTCATTCATTTATTTTAATTTGACCAGAGAGAGATACACAGAGAGAGAGAGAGAAAGAAAGTGAGAAAGCAAGCCACCAGGTCCGGGACTTGAACCATGATTGGCCACATAGGAGTGTCCAGCACCTTAACCACCACACCACCTGCTGGTCCCAAGGATGTCTGTCTTCTATAGAACCTGAGACAAGGGTGAGTAGATATCGGCTTACGCTGATTCCTCCCACTGCTGGGCCCCCTGGCTGACTGGAGACTATGGACAGAATGCGTCCTCATCGTAGAGTTCATGTATTTCCAAGTGCTGCCGATGTATAGAGACTCATGTCCTTAGGCCCTTGACGTGCTTTCTTCATGTGCCCAGAGACACACTGGCAGAAATTAGCAGTGAAAGCTCAGACTCCCTCCTCCTCGCTTCCAAGCAGCTGAGTGCTTTGGGCCCAATAAGCCACAGCTCCCTCTGCACATTTCCTGTGATACATCGCACAGACACGATGGGACAGTCAAAGAGGAAACTCGGCAATCTGTTCTCATTTCAGAAAGCCAGATGGAAGCCACGCATTTATATACTTGCAGCTCCACTGACTCATACCTTGAGTGTCTTTTCATTTATTTATCTGGGCGGGGTCTCCTTGTCCCAATCCTCCTGCCTCAGCCTCCCTGTTGGGGCTACAAGCATGCCCCCCCATGCCCAGTTCTTTTTTAAACAGGCCTCAAACATACCTCTCAGATTCTCTCTCTTCTCTATATTTTTTAGAGGTTTTTTGCCTTAGGGCACATGTGCACACTGGACAGAGAGAGAGAGAGAGACCAAGGCTGAGAGCGAAAGTGAGAAATTACCCCCTCCCCCGAGGGAATGGTCAAGCTGCAATCCCTTCTCCTCCATTCTCTTCCCAGGATCTTGGGCATGCACACGCTCATGGTTGGAGTGAGTTTCAAGCCACCAGGGACTCAAACCATGGTCAGCCATGTGGGACTCCAGCAATGTAACTGCTATACCATCTGCTGGTCCCAGCTCCCAGGATTCTCTCAATGCCAGGAGACCCATGTGTGGGTGACTCCTGTCCACACTGCCTGTAGTGTCATGGTGCTGTGTGACAGAAGTCACCTGGCTTGTCGTAAGAACACAGTTTCTCCACATTGTTGGCCAGCTTGTTGCCCAGGCCAGCCTTGGGCTCACAGTCCACCCGCCTCAGCCTCCTGAGTAGCTGGAATTATAGGCTCACACCACTGTGCCTGGCCTTTCAAGTGTCTTCATCTGGGGCCGAAATGATTTCATCTCAGGGGGATGACGATGGGTACCCCGTGCTGACTAGGCCTCCTGCCTATCGACTGTGTATTCATACGGCTACAAGGCTACATGGCTTAAGCATTGTCTATAGACTAGCCACTGTGTCAAGCTCTGGGGATTCAAAGAAGAAAGGATAGTTCTTGTCCTCATGGAATCTCTGGCTTGGAAGGTGGACAATAAAAACAAGAAGACAGTCCTTTACAAAGAGCATAAAATTGCTGTAGAGGAGCTGTGTTCCCACGACGAGCCAGGCGATTCCCATTCACACGGCACAATGAAGCTGTAGGCGGTGTGGACGGGAGCCTCTCACTCAGGGGTCCCTGTAGTAAGAACACCCAAGGAGTGTGTTTGAGGCTGCACTTTCTACTCTGCAGGACCGAACCAGATTGGAGTAGGGATGATAGGGAGTCCCATAATCTCCTAAAGGAGCTGGGGTTCAGACTTTCCTCTTCGGAAGATTGGAGGTGGGGAGCAAGCAGTGTAGACAAGTTGGTATAAAGTAGCAGGACACCCCAGGAGTCTCTGAGTCTCCTTAATGGTCCAGGTTCACAGTGGCTGGCACCTCTTTCACCATATCATCAGGTGGGAGACCCAGAAACCCTCACTCCTGGTTTCCAGAAATGCCTGTCCCAGGTAGGATTGGAGCAGTGGAGTAGGTAGCCCTGGACGTTTGGCAAAGACCCTCCATCACTATGGATCTAGGTGTGGGTGAAATGAAGGGGAACTGACCCCACCTTTCCTACTCTGAAATTCCAGGAGGTTGGCACAGCTAGAGTTCCCATGGCTTTTCTCCTCCCTAGCCCACTTTCCTTTTATAAACATTTTATTATGTATTTATTTCAATGTCAGAGGGCATGTACACACACAGGAGAAGGGGAGAGAGAGGGAGAGCGAGAGAGAGGGAGAGGTCCCCTAACGGGACCTGGTCATGCTGCAATCCTTTTTCTTCCAATTCTCCATTCTGTTTCACGAGCACATGTATCAGATGTGCTCTTCAAGCCTCCAGGGCCAGGACCCCAACCCAGGTTGGCCATGTGGGATCCACTTCCTCTACGTAGCACCTACCTGCTGCACTCTAGTCCTGGCC